TGAAGCAGTGATTGTTTTTCTCATTGTAGCTCTTTTTTTTTTAAAGATTTTATTTATTTGACAGAGAGAGAGACAGCAAGAGAGGGAACACAAGCAGGGGGAGTGGGAGAGGGAGAAGCAGGCTTCCTGCTGAGTAGGGAGCCCGATGCAGGGCTCGATCCCAGGACCCTGGGATCATGACCTGAGCTGAAGGCAAACGCTTAATGACTGAGCCACCCAGGTGCCTCTCATTGTAGCTCTTAATTATAGACTCTTACACAGCCTGGAATACAGTTCCTTCTCTCCTTTGCCTGACAAACACATTCTTGTTAAGAAAGACTCATGGTAAGCAGCACCTCTTCCTTGAAGTCATCCCTGAGCACTCCTACCTTCTACCACACAAGGAAGTAAGTGTCCCCTTGACATTGCTCCCATAGCATCATCTGTATAAGAATAGAGCATGTATCCCTGTTTGATAATATATTTGCCCTCTCTGCCTCTCTAGTACAGAGTGAGCTCCTGTCTAGCAGGCAGTTAATCATGTTCAACTCTGCCTCACCACACCCACCCCTGGATCTGGACAAGTAAAGAAGTTCAATGTATACTCGATGAAATAATAATTGAATGAACACACAAAATAAATTAATGAACATGTAAGGGAAGGAATTATTGCCTTGTTGTGTATATCAAATAATTACCAATGCATATAAATTAACTCATTATATGTATCAATTAATCAGCTAATTATGTACATGAACTAATCAATCATTATCAACTTAGGACCATCAAATTAATTAATAATACGTATCAGTTAATGATTATGTGCACACTTATTTCTTGCTGAATACATAAAGGAGAAAAAAAAAACAGTGTGTAAGATGAATATATAAACTCTCCTATTTAACTGAGGGGATTTTGTTTTATTCCCTGGTAGAGACTGGATGGATGTTTGTGTCCCTTAAAAATTCACATTTTGAAACCTAATCCCCAATATGATGGCATTTGGACAGAGGCCTTTGGCAGCACCCTCCTGAATGGTATTAGTGCCCTTATAAAAGACACCCCACAGAGCTCTCTTGTTCCTTTCAATCACATGAGGACACAGTGAAAAATCAGCTGTCTCTGAACGAAGAAGTGGGATCTCATCAGACACCAAATCTGCCAGTCCTTTGATCTTGGATTTCCCAACCCCTAAAACTGTGAGAAATAAATTTCTGTTGTTTATAAGCAATGGTATTTTTGTTACAGTAACCCAAATGGATTAAGGCATTCATATTTTACATATTTTTAACAAAATAATTTTTATTAGAAATTTAGTTTACTCAACTTTCTAAGAAAGTTAGGAAATAAAGAAAATAAGCAAGAAATTATTGGGAGGAAACGTACTGATAAACTCAGTGCTTTACCTGATATATTTTCTTTACCCATTTTTCATGTAGTTATAATCATGCTTTACCATGTTGTGTTCCATCATTAGAATGGCCACATTATTCTCAATATAACAGGCTGTCACACTTTAACTTACTGAAATCCACCAGCCAAAGATCCTAACATGTCTCAGTGAAACAAAATAAGGATAACCTTAGGCCGCTGAAGCAAGGGAGAGTTCTCTCCAGAGGAACTGTAGAGGTCTCAATAGGAGGATTTTGGCAAAGGTCTACTAAAGGATGTGGGCTTATGTTGGGTGTTTCTAAGCAGGGCTTAAAGAAGAGGAGGCCATTTCTGAACTGGATACTGTCAGAATTCAGGGGCAATTCAGCAATTGGCTATCTTGGTAATTATTATTATTTTTTAAAAGATTTTATTTATTTATTTGTGAGAGAAAGTGTGTGCTTGAGAGAGAGCATGAGTAGGGGGAGGAGCAGAGGGAGAAGCAGACTCCTTGACGAGCAGGGAGCCTGACACAGGGCTTGATCTCAGGACCCTAAGATCATGACCTGAGCTGAAGGCAGATGCTTAACTGACTGAGCCCCCCAGGCACCCCTAAATTGGCAATTTTTTCTAAGAGGTAAGAAGATTGAAACAGCGTTGGATGTCATAGGTAAATAAGTAGTAGTCACTTGGGTTAGTACAAAGAGAGCGTTGTTTAGTTGTTTTATGTGGTTGCTTAGTGTCCTTGCTTCCGTTTTGTTAGACTTGGTTACAGCTACACCTCCCTGAGGAGTGTTGTTTATGATAGCCTAGTTCTTATTCATTTTTTTAAGTTTTATTTATTTAGAGTGCAAGCATTGGCGGGGGACGAAGGGGCAGAGGGAAAGTATCTCAAGCAGATTCTTCCACTGAGTGTGGAGCTGGAGTTGGGGCTCAATCTCACAACCCTGAGATCATGACCTGAGCTGCAACCAAGAGTCGGTCACTTATTCAACTGAGCCACCCAGGTGTCCCTAGGATAGTCCAGTTCTAACTGCCTGCTGCCAGGGCTGATTTTCACTTTTTGAAAACATATACTTATTGTTGAACACTTAGTTTTTCCACTTTTTCAATTCTATGATATGATATGCAGAACACCATTATATATATAGCAATTTCTCTTTTTTTTTGAACAGGCTCCCAGAGATATCTGTTAGTATCAATTTGTAGTATTTTTCTTATGATCTCTCTCTATTACCACCATTTTCCTGCCAAATTGCCATATACCAGTATGAATGATCAACAATAATCTATGATACTGTACCTCCCTCATTATTGTGAGTTGCAAACTTTATTTATTTTTTTAAGATTTTATTTAAGACAGAGAGAAATAGCACAAGGAGGGGTGGGGCAGAGGGAGAGGGAGAAGCAGGCTCCCCAGTGAGCAGGGAGCCTGTCATGGAGCTCAATCCCAGGACCCTGAGATCATGACAGGAGCCGAAGGCAGATGCTTAAACCACTGAGCCACCCAGGTGCCTCATGAATTGCACACTTTAAACATGACTTCTTTAATAGGCAAAAATGGAATATAATTTTTAACTTATTTGAGTTTCTATAATTATTTGTGAGATTGGATTTATTTTACATGTGTCTTTATGGGTTGCATTTACTGTTTTTCAAATTATCTGTTCACATGCTTTGTCAATTAGTCCATTGATACCTTATATTTCTTACTGAATCTATATTATCTCTTCAAGTAATCAGCTGAAAATGATTTTTATAGGATAGTGTAAAAATAATTTTTTAGCATATCAAAAATTATATATCATTCAATTAGTCAATATTCTTTCTTTGAACTTTTGACCATGTGCTTCTTATTCCATACATCTTTTCATCCTTCCAAATTTGATTCTACTATCAAATTGAACTCTTCAATCTACCCAAAATTATTTTGAAAAATGTTGAAACATGCATCCCTGAAATATTATCTACTTAATTTCCCATCATGTGTCATGTTCACTTTCCCATACAGAAAAGCATCTTTGGGCAGACTTTCATATATGTGTTGAGACTAAAACTAAATATTTGATATTTTTAGAAACAATGCATTAGTAAGCAAAATACTTAAATAATTTCTTCAGGGCAAAAATTTCAACTATTGGCAGAAACCACAACAATAGATACTGTAAACGGATGGATGAATGAATGAATACCAAAAAAAGGGATATAAACATTGAACAGGATGCTAAGGCAGCATATTTGAGTTGCATGCTTCTTTATAAAATTAGTGCATTTCAATTCCCAAAATAAGACAACTGTGTTTTGCTTTAAGTTGCTAAATTTGTGGTCATTTGGTTTGCAGCAATAAAGAATGTATTAGTTCTCCGTCTTCCCAAGTATTTTTCATTGGAACCCCATTTAAAAACAAAAGACACTTCCTAAAAAGGAGGACATGCTTCAATGATGTATGTATTTGAATTTTTGTTTTATGCAATCTCGGTTTAAGGCAGCATGGTGAAATTCTAGACACCAAGTGTATTTTCATAAATACTTACTGAATGACATTATCCACAGGTAAATAAGACTTGAAATGTTAGTATTTCAGCTCTTTGTCCTTCCCAAAATGGACTTAACAAAATTAACTGAATATAAGAAAAAACTCCTAAAACGACTTAAACTCTATTCACCTTTATTGGTGATTTTATGCTGACTTTTGTATCTAATTGTAACTTCAGGTAAAAAGCAAATGTACCCAATACAGTATATATTTTAAACTGCAGTTCAGATTTTATTTTAAATATTTTAATAATTATTTTAAGTACTGATGCACTTACAGTACCTATTATTTTAAATATTGAGACCTAGTGTCCTTGACCGTACATATCAAAACAGATGCATATTTTATACATATAAATGTAATTTTATACCTGAAGCATATTTATTCTTACAGATATGTTTAACATTTATGTCTTCAGAACATGTTCTATAAAATACATATTTAACATTTATACCTTCAGAAACATAAACAATTGATATATCCTCTGATTTTGAAGGCTAACCCTCACCAGAATTCCTAGCTCTGCATAGGATGTGGTTTATTCACTTATGACAACATCAATCATGTCCTGCAGTAACAACTGCAGCCATTATGTTGCCCAGTACTTTCCCTGTAATTATTTTTCAAGTCATTTCCAGAGTACTTCATAAAATATTTTTAATGCCACTATCTGGAAACAGAAATAAATTAATTCCATTTTTAAGGGCTTTAAGAAATGTCTCTTGATTTTAGGTGGAAGTTAATTTTATATCGCTACCTTTGCCAGAGGCACACAGTGTAGCATTTTTTTTGTGGTTGGAAGAGAAGGATTTCATTGTTGCAATGTAGGAAAAAAACGCTATATAACAGTGAAGTCATTTTTTTTTTTTTTGGCTTGGGAGGGGGCAACAAGCAACCTTCCCGTTCCCTCTCCATATGTTGCAACTTTTATGTCTGCTTTGCCATCTATTCCATTAACATTATGATTAATGAAAGACTCCAGAATTTTAAATGGCTTGAAAAGGAGCCAATGCCTTCCCTTTAGAGGCTACATTGAAAATAAACAACAATAAAAACAGGGTGATCCAGGCTTTGAAGTCTTTAAAGACTCTATCACTGTGATGTTTGTAGCACTGCTGTAGAAAAGAGGACAGCATTTCCCATTTCTGGCATTACGAATGACAACACAGCAACTGAAAGCAAGCATGAATTTCTGGGAGTAGCATTAGGATACAGGGCTCCTGCTGAGCTCACCAGATCCTTGCTCTGCACAGCTGCCTTCTCAGCTGGGGGTTTTAAATCAGCACAGTGAGAAAAGATAGAAATGACCATGATGCATCCTCCTCACTATGAGAAAAAGGTAACGTTCAATTAACGCTTCAGTTTTCTATTTTCCGACAGATTTATTTCTGTCTTTTTTTGGAGTATGTTTTGCTTTGGATCTTTTTTTATTGGTGGTGTTCCTTTTCATTTCACAGAATAAAATGCTTAAACTAAAAATATCTTTGTGCTTGCAGTTGTGGGAGAAGGATTCTGAACTTCTCATGGCTTTGCTGAAATCAATAAGAATTGGAGAAATTACAGTGCTTTTAAGAAATGTGTACATGCACACCCACAGGATATTAATGTGTGATCATGCTCACTTAGCTATGCGTGCTTGTGGCAATAAAACCATCACAATGCAAAGAGTAGAGCCTGTTTTAAAAGTGTTTCAATAAATGCAACATCTCATTTGTTGAGAACACCTACATTTTCTGTTGTGTGTAGAATGGTGTTTACCATGGTGTTTGTTAATGGGAGTCCCCTTTAAGGCTGGTTTGAGTACGAACAGGAACAACCATAAAAAGAGTCAACAAAGCAATGCTTTTCATCTTCTAGCCATAAAGAAATGTATTATCTTCATTTATACTTGTTACAAATTGTGTTTACAACTGCATACATAGAAATTAACAAACATGATTTTATAGAATCCTGTTCTCCATATAGTTACTTTGTTCTATGTTCTTACAGACACGCCCACAAGGGTTCTTAGTTGGACTCTTTTTTTTTCTCTTTGAGAACAATTTGTTTTTTTCAAGCCCAGAATGATAGGAGAAAACAAGCTATGTGATATGTGGACTTGTGCATGCAGGTGTGAATGTATGTTTAACTGACCTTGGTCTTATGAATTTCCTCTCCAATTTTCATTAGCCTTCTGGTTGGAAAGATCAACACCTTTTAGCCTGAATAATATTCTTAAGAATGAAGTTCAGAGGTTGAGTGTTCATGGGAAACATGTCAATTTAGTTTCATTTTAAGATTTGAACCAAAATATTGATTGTTACCACTTTAATAATCACTCATTATAAAATCTGGTCAGCAATTCATTTTATAAACATTTATTATGTGCCAAGCACTGGGCTTGGCAACAGAAAGATAAGTATGTGGTTCTCACTCTCAAGACATTTATAGCCTAATCCTTTTGATCAAGGAGCTACTTTCTGAAGAAGGGTCTATTATTTAACTATATTGCTGTACAACTCATGTTGGAAGAGAATTTTGCAAAATCTATTGAATTTCACTTCAAAGTAGTACCTAGTAGTACCTAGTAGGTAAATGATATACAAAGGATTAGTTTTTACCTACCAAGGCAACAACTATTTATTGAATCACAACATTGTGCCAGGCACAGTTGTAAACACTTGGGAAAAAGCAGCAAACAAAACAGAGCCCTTACCATGGAGCTTACATTCTAGCAGGGACCAAAGATTAAGAGTTAGCATAAAACTTCACACTTGTTTTCAGAAAAGTAATGAGGCAAGGGTGACCTAGAAATTGAGCTTATTGACTTGATACTGTAACAATTCATCTGGCCTACTTGGTTCTCTTATTGGACCTAGATGACCCAAAGGAAAAAAAGAACTTCTATGAATCTTAGTGTGCACCTTCAGAATACTTGGAAGTGACTTTAAAAATCAAGCAACAAATTGTTTGTTGTAATACTGTTCTTCTAAATTCTGTGTTAAGAAGACTGTGTAAAAGTCATTTTACATTATTCACACAGTGTAGTGATTTTAATTTCCTGATGCTCCTGAGTGATCAAGTTTCTTAGCAATAGTTTCCTGGTGTTTCTCTTGAACCCTGAACTGGCAAAATATACAGGTTCTTAATGTCCACTGAAATTGCTGTATCCTCTCATTGGCCTGCTTTGGTTACTAGTGACACTGTTCACTGAGCATGCTTCTGGGATGCCACCATGGAAGGCATTTGGAAAACATTTATATCCCTCTCTTTCTCATTTTAGATACCTCATTTTTCTGTTTTAAGATTGTGGTGGAATACATTTCCCCTACTTGGTATCTTTCTTGGTATCTATCTTTGTTTCTTTCCTGATTTCTATCTCATGTCCACCTGTATCTACTCTATTTATCTATCTATCTATCTATCTATCTATCTATCTATCTATCTATCTATCTATCATCTATCTATCATCTATCTTTTATCAATCTAAACATAAGCATCTAATCTTTTTTAGCTCACAATCAGATAATTAAAATACATTTCTCCATTGTTACCTCTGTTATAAGAGTTGGAAAAATGAAGTTCTTATGTTTCCAGGCTCCCTCACCATGAAAGTGGCCATATTGTTTAGTTCTGGGCATTGAGACATGAGCACCAACTTGCAACGAGGTTTATGAAGGATTTCATTTACCTGATATAAAGAAAAGACATATCTGGCATGGCTCCTTTTCCCTTTCTTGAAGGCAGAATGGGATGCTGAGAGCATGTGCTGTTATTTTGTGATCAAGAGGAGGCAGATATGTGGAAATAACAAGAGAATTTCAGGTATGTTAGTCCAGCCATGCTAAAACAACCATGGCTAAAACAATGCCACCTGCTTTCCTCAAGACTCCTTGTCATGTCAGAAAAATAAACCAATATTTATTAAGTCATTCTCAATGGTGTTTTCTGTTATTTTTAGTGGAAGCATTCCTAACTGATACCACATGCATAAATAATTTATTAGAGAGTGTTAAAAGTTGAGCATTGTATTATAAAATAGAACACTTAACAGTAAAGGCAAAATGCAATTCTCATCTTCAAGAATTTTATAGGAACATTTTATGTAGTAAACAAATAGGAATCAAAAGACTTTCTGATATTCATCCAAGGTCTGAGACCAGTTTGCATAGGCATTTTTTTTTTTTTTTACTGTTTCTTGGTGTTCATTTTCTCATATGTAAAATAAGGGATTGCATTATTTCTAAGGTTCATTTGATGCCTAAATTACTAGCTTCATTAGAATAAAATGTATTTTGGATCTATGGATTTATAACCCTACCTGTTGAGTGATATTTTCAAATTTGTATTTCTTAGATACTTTGGACATGAAAGAAGTTGTACTTTTACTGTTCATACTTAGGATTCTATACATTTTACCTTGAAAAAGTTGGTCTCTGAGTATGAACATTTGATATGCCATTAAGCACTCTCTGTAAATCTAATTTACGTAGTTATTTACCTACAGAAATTAGCATAAAAGATATTTGGAAGCATCTTTTAGGAGGAATTATTCCCAGCACAACTCTATACAACGTCATCAATTTCCCCCCTTTTGTGAGGACAAAATCCAGACAAAATAATTCCACTAATATGAAGGTACGTCTGACACACTAGTTTTCTAGACCTTTTGTGACACGGCCATGCAATTGTATAAAATAGATATTAAAAAGTTTCATTGATTGCAAAATGTTTTCAAATTGCTTTGGAAAGGCATCAAGCATAACAAATAAAATGTTACCATACCATTTAAAAGAATATATGAGCAATGTGAATTAAAGGTGAATTGATCATAAACGACATTAATCTCAAGGTCTATTTTATTTTTCCATTTCATCTTATAATAATAAGAGGTTATGAGAGTTGATCAAATTTCAATTGCCCTCACCAGGCTTTTTTTTTGGCTATGATAAGTTAATGTTTAACTCTGATTTGTAATTTGGTAGATATTGGAAACCAAGATGTGCAAAGAGGCTGCTACTGGAAATAGAGAATAGGTAAAACAGAGACCACACAGAAAGCAGGGAGCTGATAGCAAGCAAAAAGCTTTAAATATAGAAAATGAAAGAAAGAAAGAATAAATGAATGCAAGTAGAAAGGAAAGATGTGCTTGTATTTCTGTCTCTCTGTGTGTGTGTGTGTGTGTGTGTGTGTGTGTGCGCGCGCGCGCGCGCACAGGCAGGCATGTGGGATAATTCCGGAAGGAGAATGAAAATGCATCAATATAGAGATTGTGTCTTTCTTTTTCATGAAATGAAGAAACTCTTGCCAGATAATTATCACCACCTCTTGTTTTCCAGAGTAATACGCAGCCCTTGAACCGGAAAGCTGATCTGATACTTAAAAATGAGGGGTTCTCGCTTTCTTTGAAGCCACGTACCATCTCTGGGTGGTAGCCGAGTATCAAACAAACAGAGATGCCTTTTCTCCCATGCTGGAAGCAGTCACCCCTGTTGCCAAGGAAACATCCTCAGGCAGCAAGGGTCACCTTTGGAGACAATCGGAAGACTTCAAAAGCAGATCAATAGAGACATGCCAAGACCTGAACTTCCTCGTTAATGTTGTCTCCTATTTTAAATGTCATTTGCATCAAACACTTGCTTCTGTGATTACTATGTCCTGGGAAGTAGGAAGGCAAAATTGAACATGTAGAAAGTCTAGCCCAGTATTTCTAAGCTGCGCTCTTGGAAGCTGGGGTTTGCAGAGAGATGTTGTAAGAGCAGGATGAACAGGCTAAATGAGGGACTGACATTCAAGTGGAAAGAGAGGAGCTAGGAGCTGTATGTGACACTTCATTTGAAGAAAAGATTCAACTCATTAAAGAAACACGGAGTCTTTACTCATACGGGCACACGTGATTATACTTTGTCTAAATTGGTGAAATTTTCATTTTAATTTCTGAAAATGTTTTGTCACATATTAAGTTTGGGCAGGTTTTGTGTCAGTAATGCACAATTTCACTCATTCACCCATTTGCTTGTTCTTTTACCAACTATTTATGATTTCACACTAGGAGCCAGGTGCTTCTCTGAAAGTGGGAACTGAATAACACACAGTCCCGACACTGAAGGTTTGGGGGACTCAATCTGGTGAAGAAGGTAGACATAGAAACAATGGAAGCACTTGCAGAGGGAACAGAGAGAGATCCTTGTAATTCCTCCTGAGAACAGGAGTAAAGGCTTTTGGGGAGAGAAAATGCTTTATTTTAGCCCGGAAGAATGGATAAGCATTGAACAGGGAGCCCAGGACCGGAAGGACATTTTAGAGACAAGCAGAGACAACAGCAAATGCCAAGGACAGAGATGGGAAAGGCAGATTTCATCGGCGTTCTGTTGATCAAAGATCAGTATGTATTTGGCAGTGTGGACATGAGGTTCAAAAAGGAAAATGGGCCTGGATCATAAAAAGTCCTTATAGAGTATAAAAATGTTTACACCTTAATGTTAGTTTTCCAGATTTTTCCTTTCTAATGTTAGGGATAGCTAATGGGATTGCTTAACCCTCTAATAAATAGAGCTCTAACTAGGTTGGTATTGTTTTCTCTCCCATTTTGCAACCAATTATTTATAAATACCTCTGTGCTTTCAGAGGCTTAAGGGATGGGAACTTCTGTGACTGTTTATTATCTAAAGCAAGAATTGTGAAATTTAGGGATAAACCCTCTTGCTATTAGAACTCACAATAAAATTTGATTTATTAAACAACAAATAATGGAGTTTTATAGTAAGAATTAGAATGACCTCCACTTTCAAAGTAACTAGTAGAATTAAGCTGTCAGTAGCAATCATTTCTTAAAATCACATTATCTTTCTTTTTGTCGGAAAATTCAAAAGTGACAAATGCAAAGAGCTCTTTTGATTACTAATGTATTATGTTTCACGCTGAAATGTACCTCGTTAAGTCTGCCTTTATGAGGGACAAGAATGAAACTTTGTGTATAAGAAAATTCAGAGGGTGGGGATGTTTGAGAGCTAAAGCTTTTTGGCATCATTTAGGTTAGCCACCTGTTCTAGCCTGCATTTGCTGAATAAATTAGATGCTCTGGGGAGAGTGTATGCAGCTGATTGGTCTGCCCTGTTACCGAGGCAACCATTTTTCTCTCTGCTCTATGACTCTGAAAGGGTTCATAACCCATTAGTACTCCTCTGAGCAGGAACATGAGAAAATGTTTTTTTTTCCCTTGCTTTTCTTTCTTTCTTCAGTTTCTTTTATAAATATCTGGTTAAGATGATGGGATTAGTGGAATTTAACAGATACTCTTACTATATTGTTTATTCAAGCAGTACATTTTCCAGATGTTTGAAAAACTTAGGTCCAAATGTAAAGGCCCATAAAAAACAGCTAAAAGCAGGGATGCTAAGGATAACTAAATTTAAAAAATTGAAAATATTTACAACTTAAATGTGGAGTTCATCTAAGGTAATATATGTAAAAATAAACTCTGAATTTAGTCCAAAAGGCAGTGCAAGAAAGGCCATTTCCCCCAAATTATTCCAGTTATTATTTCTGTCAGGGTTTTCTCACTTTGCAGAGGTGACGAGACATGAAAGAGCAACAATTTAGTGAAGGTTTTATCAGATTCATCAAGCCATAAATTCTGGGAAGTCAGTGATCATTTTCTGTATGCCAAAGGGCTGAGGAACTGGGGAGAGGGTACGGCTGACCCCAAACCATGGTAATACCAGGAAATGAACACAGGTTTTCATCCACAAGTCACATGTAGACCTCAGCCTATTTGTTTTCTTCTATTTTGTAAACCATATTTATCTTTCTTCTCCAACTCTGTGCTTTGCCCCTTTGAATTCTAAATCTTCATGCATTAAGAAACAAAACAAGAACAATAGGCCTCCCCAAACAGATAAATTACTCCCTCACCCACCTTGTAGCAGGAATGCTACATTTTATCCCATTTGCTTCATTCCTTCTGTCAACTCAGTGAGGCAGAGGTCATTGATCCTGTCTTGCAATTGAGTGGAACTGAGACTCGAGTGGATTACATAATTTGCTGAAGGTGGCTGAGTGGGCACTCACTTTGATTCTAGCTCATTCTAAAGCCATGCTTTTCCATGATGCTCTAGTGTCTCTAAAGTTCTGCAGTAATACTAACAGGACATGTCATTTCTGAACACTGAAATCTTGGGGAATAAAAATAAATGGAATATTAAAACACTTAAATGAAGCCTCTTGGAGGGCTTCTTGTTCTTTTATTTTGGGTTTTTACACAATAAATATTTGCTCATTTATTACAGTGCTAGAGCTTTTGTACGTATTTATTAAGAGGGAAGACATCATCATACATAGCAATTCCTTTGACACTTCTTTTTATTATCTTTCTATAAATACTAGAGAAACTGATTAAAATTTCACTTTACATGCTTATCTTGCTACTATCTTATTTGTCATTCTTGCCAGTGAGGACCGCTAGGATCTCTGGGAGAAATAAGACTCATATTTTGATCATGGACAAACCTTAATGTAATTAGACTTATTCCAATTTTTTATTTCCTATAGATTTTGATTCTGCATTCTGAGATATCAAAGCTGGAGTTGATGTTTTTTAAAAAAAAACAGCTCTTGGGGCACCTGGGTGGCTCAGTTGGTTGGGCGACTGCCTTCGGCTCAGGTCATGATCCTGGAGTCCTGGGATCCAGTCCCGCATCGGGCTCCCTGCTCGGCAGGGAGTCTGCGTCTCCCTCTGACCCTCCCCCCTCTCATGTGCTCTCTCTCATTCTCTTTGTCTCAAATAAATAAATAAAATCTTTAAAAAAAAAAATAAATAAATAATAAAAAATAAAAAAAACAGCTCTTTAGTAGGTACAGAGACATCTTAAGGTGGGACCACACGATGAATAGGATGTTTTTAAAAGGTATAGTTCTCAGTGTCCAATAAAGCAGTGTAAATATTTTACTTGGTGTGAAGGCAAAGGTATCCTTTGTTAAGCATATCGTGACTGATCCCTGCTGTGGCTAAAGTTTAACAGACACTTCACTGAATGGTCATAAATAAGCAAGGAGAGCACAAAGTTATTATTTTCCTAGAATAGGGGGATTTGGCAAAAGAAGAAAATGCATACTCTAATTTGCTACAAGCAAGATGGATTTGCTTCTTTCCCTCCTATTTCTAGCATAAATTTAATGTTTGGAAGTTTCTCTGAAGAATAAGACAATTATTTACAATCTGAAAAAAGAATGTCTATTTGCATTTGCAGAAATACCTTTATTTAAATATATTGCTTCTGCTATTCTCTTGCAATGTCATCTAGATTAGTTTTTTTTTTTTTTTTTGTGCTCCAACCCTATGCTAATGTCTCAGCTCATTCAAAAGGCTTTCAGCAACTCCTTATGTTCTCTCCTGTGGCAGATATTCTCTTAAGTGTTGAGGACCCAGACAGGAACCTGCAGTCTCCCTCCTTCATGAATTAAGCTTTGGGTGGTGGGGGACATCTACAAGACAGTCAGTAGGGTGGATGCTGTCATAGGATAATGAACTTTGGGTTGAGGACATATTAGAGTGTTTCTAAACACAGAGATTCTTCCAGCACCTTCTCACTCTTCATCCTGATTCACCCTCAGTGTCTCCTATGCTGACCACCATCATGTCCATTCCTGTTTTCACCCCGATATTTGGATGTGTCGCAGAGTGTATCTTTGTGGCTGTATCCTTGGTTTTTCTCAAATCTGGTTTTCCTTTTTGCCTGTGCTATGTAAGTCAATTTGAACATGGCTCTTTTGGAAGGATTTTAATTGTTATGATTGTATGGTTACTTCTCTCACTAGGATAATCCTGGCACAATTATTCCAACATTGCACTTTAATTACTTACCTGCTAGAAAGCAAACCTCTAAACTGTTGACCTATCCATTGACTTCAAGTGGTGGGGTGTGTAGGAAACATTTCTTCCTAAGGGATACTCTCAAGGGGGAGTGCATGCACTGTAGCTTCACCTAACACACACCTTGTTCTTAATCAAATGCCACTCTTCACTGGTATCTGCCCATCTCTGTTGAGTGTATTTGTAACACGTTAATCAAGTTGCATGATGCCAACTAGAGGCCACAACACCAACCAGGAGAGCAGCTAGCTTATAGTCATGAAACTCAGCAGGCATCTCCCACTAACACTGGAAATCAACATATTCCTGGGGTCCAGTTTTATTTTGTTGTTACTTTAAATCTAAATTTCAAGCATAAGAAATCATATGGAACATATGATTCTCAAAATTATTTTGTTCCCAAATAATTTGGAGAATTTGGGGTGTATTCTGCTCACAAAGAAAATTTAGTGACATACCTTGGACAGTCCAAACCAAACCTTCAAAAGGAAGGAAACCATGGTTGTTCTAGGGAGATCAAAAGCAACAACTCAACAGGCTACTGCCAGGATGTAACCCTGTCCACATGGCTGCTTGTCTCCGCTTGTCCCTCTTCCACTTCATAAATTCCTAAGGGAGAGCATTTGGGTCCAGCTTGGGTCATATGCCTTCCACACTTGACTCAATCAATCATGGCCAGAGAGACTGGGGGAATTGATCACTGGGGGATGATTCCAAGGGTCCCAGCCCCCCACCCCCAGCCCGTGTTCTGCAATTACACTTGTCTTTTCCTCATTTTCTTTGAAAGGATCCAGTTTCCAAATAAAAGTGCCTTGCCAGCACTAACTGTCAATTTGTTTTCTCAAGTCTCAACTATTAGCCAACGTCTATTTTCTAAATCTTATTTCATCTTTCTTTGAACCCTCCTGTCCACAAATTAACCTCTTCTATTTTGTTCTTTCCTTCCTATTTTTTTCCTTATGGGCAATATTGCTTTGCAATGAGCTTCCTTAAATTCCACTAATCTTGACCTTTCTTGAAAATATTTCTGGCTGTCTACTTGATTATGTCATCTCAGGCTTCTGAAACAATAACTCTCTTAATGCAGAATCATGTCTGTGGAGAACACTCGTGGTAAGCTTTCTAGCGGCTCTAGAGTGGATCCTTGACAAGTTCAATCCTGAAAGTAGATGACATGAAAAAATGTATGGAAGCATTGGAAGAACAGTACTTTTAGGGGACTTTAAGGACACAGTATATGTGCAGATATATGGGCAGTTGAGTCTGAAAAGGTAAGAAAAGGTCATGACAAATTTGAAGTCAATAATTATCCCATGAAGAATTTAAATGGGGAATGACATGAGGAGATAATGTATATCAGGAGAAAGCTTATCTTGGTGTAAGGGTTGGAGGCCATTTAAGGGTTCTAAGAATAAATAAATACAAAGAAAGTCTACACCAATGTAGTGGCAGTGTAAATGGAAAGCAGAGAACAAATACGTGAGATGTTTAAGAGGCAGATTTTAGGGCGCCTGGGTGGCTCAGTTGGTTAAGCAACTGCCTTCGGCTCAGCTCATGATTCTGGAGTCCCGGGATCGAGTCCCACATCGGGCTCCCTGCTCAGCGGGGGTCTGCTCTCCCTCTGACCCTTCCCCTCTCATGCTCTCTGTCTCCCACTCTCTCTCAGATCAATAAATAAAATCTTAAAAAAAAAAAGAGGCAGATTTTATAGCACGTTGTGGAGTAGTAAGGGAGAAAAAGTTGAGGTTGACTGTGAAAAGTCTGGTATTTGGAGAGTTGATGACAATATTATTCAATAAGAAAATACAGAGGGATAATGTGTGGCTGAAGTGTGTGTGGGGTGGGGGGCAGATGGGTAATATATTTACTTAGGTTTAGGAGTCTGTGGGCCACATAATTGGAAATGTCCAAGAACAGATGTGTATGTGGGATAGGAGCTTGGGGAAAAGATCTGGATCTGGGTCCTCAAGTCAGTAGATGAAGCTAGTGGGGAATACATGAAACTGAGTATGACGTAGATTATTCAGGAATGGTGCAAAAAAAAAAAAAATAACAAGAAGGTTAAGGAGAAAACTCTAGGAAATACTTATATTCACAGGATGAAAACAAAAAAGGAACCAGTGAAGAGTCTCAGAAGAAATTCACGGACACTGGAGTTAACTTTTAACTATGCAGGAGAGAGTGATGAATTGAAAGTTAAGGAAGAAAGGACTTCTGGAAAGAAGAGTATGATTAACAATACCAAAAGTTACAGAGAGATCAAGTAGAGTAAGGCCTAATTCACTCCACTCTCTGACTGCTCGTTCTTAACTGACATGGCACTTGGGATTGCTGACCTTTTCCTTATTCCTGACCTCTGATAACCACAGACTACTCAAGTCTGTTAACTTAAGAGTTAAAAAAACAGGGCGCCTGGGTGGCTCAGTTGGTTAAGCGGCTGCCTTCGGCTCAGGTCATGATCCCGGAGTCCCGGGTTCGAGTCCCGCATCGGGCTCCCTGCTCGGCAGGGAGTCTGCTTCTCCCTCTGACCCTCCCCCCTCTCATGTGCTTGCTCTCTCTCTCAAATAAATAAAATCTTAAAAAAAAAAAAAAAAAGAGTTAAAAAAACAGAATTGAGTCATTGTTTTGTTTTTTTAGTGATAAAATACTATATTGTTATTGAAAAATTTCAGAAAATACAGAAATATGAAATAAAAGAAGTAAATCTACAAAAGTGTCCAGAAGGATATAAAGTATTCCAAGGTGCAGTGCCTTGCCCAGTGATAATTGTTGCTGATGCTTTGTTGTATATTCTTAAATATTTAATTTTATACTCTCTGGAGACCTTTCTGTGTGTGTGTGTATATATATGTATATGTATGTGTATATATATATATATATAATATGTATATTATATATATAGTTAAAAATGAAATTTTACTATTCATACTATTCTTTGTCGGCATGACTTGATCATAAAGAGTGTTATTTACATCTTTTCATGTACACAAGAGTCCCAAATTACCAACATGCTTTTCAATGGTTACCTGGAATATTTATATCTTTGGTCCTCTCTTTTAATTTACATAACTAATTTCCTCCTGATGAACATTGGGGTATTTCCAATTTTTAACATAATATATAAAACCAAGATGGGTACAGTTCTACAGATATCTTTAGCCATTTGCTGATTACTTTCT